ATATCATTACAATTAAGGAGAGTGCATGACAAGCGAGCTGATGAAACAAGCGAATTATTTACGGTCACGATGGGGATGAAATGGATGAATTGTGGTCAAAACCGATTGATTGAAGAAGGGGATGGAGATGCTAGGTTATCTGGGAGGTGGCCGGAGGCCAAGGAGGCCTCTTGGCTGACTAACTGACGGAAGGAAGGCACGACACGACCCCACAACAAAGCGAAGCGATCAAAACTCCGTCAATTGAACAAAGGCAGAGTCTAACAACCGTTCAATACTACATAGATATCCTTGACTATTTTGCGTAGCGATAGATCGGCGATAAAGCTACAGTCAAGGAGCTCTTTCTCAAGAGGTAGGGAGTGGTTATTGCTCTAAATACTGGGTGAGTTAAGAGTTTTTTTATCAATAGTAACTAATCTCCGACTTACCACCCGCTCGCGCTCAAAGAGCTGAGGAGCCGCGGCTGTTACGGGGCTGTAGAGCTCATGGTATTTTTTAATCCCCGAAAACCGTTGACCGTGCGAAGTGAGCGACGAAGTACATTTGTTGAAGTAGACCATCTTGTCCGTGAGTGATTGCTGCGACCGCGCGTAGCGATCGCGAATCACAATGCCGAGGTATAAAATTCCCGCGCTGAAAACAAAGCTGCCAATTATCCAGCACAAGGTTCTCTTCGCCAGCGTCCAGCGATGAGCAATCTCTACTACTCTTGTGCAGGCACCGAGAACTTCTATTGCAGTGGCTGAGCTGACGTATTTGCGGGCGGGATTCAACTCGAAAAGCAAGAGAAGCCCTTTGAGTTAGAGCAGCTCAACCAACATACTATGATTATCCCAGTGATTGAAACTCCTGATGTGGTTGACTTGGCTGATGAGTTCTTGGCTATTGAGGGCGTGGACGGCATCTTGATTGGATCTAATGACCTTTGCACAGACCTTGGTATCCCTGGTCAATGTGAGACTCCTGTATACCAAAATGCGGTCGAACGCGTCATTGAAGCTGGATTAAATTCAGGGAAGCCGATTGGGATCGGAGGCATAGGAGGGCGCCTGGATTTATTAGAAAGGTTCTTCCAGAAGGGAGCCACATGGTCATTGAGTTGCGCGGGCGGAGCGATACTGCAGGCCGGCATGAAGCATCTCGGGAAAACATATAAAGATATAAACCTTCGCGTGCAAGACTTCAGACAGGGGAATATCTAGTTCACTCATGAAGTTGATGACAGACCCAGGTGGGTAATATAGCTGTATTGTGCCAAGAAATTACACGTCCTGGATAAACGTTATATCTCTTTCAACTAGTAGTCCCTATAAGTCATCTAAATTATATCAGCTATTCTTTAATCCCTCCCAATCCTGTTTGCTGAACCTATATTCAACTTCCTTTCCGTCACTCTTCACTTGCTTCCACTTCGCCATCCCCATCCCATCAGCAAGTCCTTGAAACGGTGTATTCACCGCCAATGTCTCAAAAAAAGCCTCATCGCATCCGATGCCTCCCCCCTCCATCTTCCGGAATGCAAAGTCCAACGTAGCCTGCAACGCTTCCCGCCCGTACCCCTTCCTCCACTCAGAGCTATCAATCAACACACCCAAGTCCGCAATTCGCTTGCCCTGAGCGTCCGTAGAGATAGCGTTAATGCCACCGAAGCCGATGACGGAAGGTGAAGCCAAACCCATGTCTGTTGTTGGGCGTCGGGTTATGACGAGAAAATAGGCTTGCCCGCTGGCGCGCAGGTCTTCCCATTTGGCGATTCGGCCTTGATATTCTTCTACCGTTATGTTGCTTGGCTTGTGCGGTTCATATTGGGTGTTGAGAGGGTTTGCAAAAATGACTGTGAGAGGAACCGCATCGGAAGGGACGGCGGGACGAAGGGCAAGATTTTCAGTGCGGAGATTAGGGTTTAGAGAATGCATCTTATTGCAAAAAGTGTTGATCACTATTAGTACCCAAGTTGTCAAATTGTGCGGGATTGGGAGATAAACCATCCAACATTATAGTGAAGGTAATTCCGGGCTATATAGTCTCTTAGGATTAAGCAGCCAGGAGCTAAGGGAATGAGTCATCATGAAATGCAGAGATAAACGATGCCTGTTCACGTGATTACGTGGACCCTTAATTCCAAGAGATGGGTGTGGTTTCCAGCCTCTGTACTGCGTGAAACAGATGCGCAATACAAGAAGCATCTGGATCACACGAGGCCAAATCATGTCCATGGAGCCTACTGGCACGTCCTAGGGCCTTCAATACATGTATATGCATACGACTTTACGCCCTAACTACTTAATGTATGAATTCATCAAGTTAAGTGAGAATTGTTAAATATTTGCTTACTTTATTTCTATGAAATCTCCCCTAAGCGCAAAGTCGCTAGAATCTTAAGCAATTCAGGTCAGTGATATTAATACTGTTTAAGACTAGCAAGCTTCAGCAGCATGTCGCTCATCTCGGCTTTCTCGAGAGGCTGATCGCGGTTACGCGAAAAACAGTTCCGTCAGGTAGAAGGGCATGAAGAGGTCTTGGGTATATGCTATCGTGCGCCCAGTGTGTAGTTGCCCCGTTAAAACCAAACATGCGATCTTTTCTGACAATGTCTCCTTTGTTGCAAGGCGAACAAGGAGGTACGAGGCGTAGATGACGGTGCGGATCACGTCACTCTTGTTTGTGGGTTCCCCCCAAATGAACTCCGCGCGAATCCCAAACGATAAGATCACCTAGCTTGGCCTCGACTTTCACGGGCTTGAGCCCCTTTTGTTCGAACCAGAGCATTCCCTCCTCCGTGAACCGACACCAATCAATATGGGTCCAGTCCGCTTGATCTCTCTGCTTGATCTCTCTGCTTGCGAAGGAAATTCCCTTCCTATGTTGTTTGACTTGGGGAGAAGCATCGAAGAACCATCTTCGGGTCCAAATTCGCTAAGACTGATTATGTTTTGGACACAGTGTAGTCTCTTCTTGTGAGATGACTGGTCGATATGGGGCCACGAGGGCCTTGGTGGTCTGTCTTCTCTCCCTAGTAATTCAATGTTGCTGTGCTTGAAATGTTCGCAAAGCTAACTGCTGCCCCCGTCTCCGTGCGGGTGTCCCATATGAATTTCCCATGGACGACGGAGTAGTTGTCGAACGTGTTGAACTTACTACCGACAGGCAAGTTCTCGGCTTTCCAGGAAGACTGATCATGAATGTCTGCCTTTAATCGCTATTCTGAGGTACTGTGAATGATTGAAACTAATTATATATTAGTTTCTAAACTTTTCCATTCCAAATATAGCACCACTCGCTACATAAGACTACACTCGCTGGAAAAACACCCCCTATTTTCTCCTCCAGTTTATCACGGGTCCATCCTCGCTAACTATTCCTCAACAGGCAAATATTTACACTCATGATCTGGTTTGATGTCATAGTGCTTGAATACAGGCAGTAGGAGCTCCTCTGGATCTTGCTTTGCTATCTGACCAAGGCAAACATCGCATTTTCGTTCAGTTGTCGTCTCCCTGTAGAACTTCTCCGCCTGGGCATCATCAATTAAAACGACTACAAACAGGCGCTCGTTGGTGTCGCCGTGAAATTTCCGAACCAAGACAGCAATGGCGAAAGGTTTAGTGGCAGCTTCAAAGGTGTTGTAGTTTGTCGCAACGTCTGTCTCGTCTCTGAGTTTCCCAAGCTTATCTCGGCTGATGACGATCTCTGGATTCTTGGCCAGAAACTCCTCGAGAGCCGTAGAGCAGAAGGCGTATTCAATTAAGAATAAATGAAAGGATATATTTCGGTGTAGGTCCGGCGAGTGTCACAAGACTTTTGGAGCCCCTCTTGAGAAGCGGACTTCTACAATTCATGGCCAGATAATGAGCCGGCCAATCACCGGTCCGCATTCGGGGAAGTACTGTAGGGAGGAGCAAAGCCAGGAAACACCTTTTCGCGTTCTTGGGGCACTCACTTCCCGCTTCGCACAATAGACAGAGTGATGATGCAAAGATGATGCACGTTCTCAGACTGATGTACCACAAAAAGTGGGATGGAACCTGCACTCCGCACCAGAAGGGTACAAGTAGGACCTTATGCTCCGACATCATATAAGTGGAAATAGCTGGTGACGTGAACTCGAAGCGAGACACGCCTGAAATTCATCTCATGAGAGTCTTGAATACATCGCCGTTCCCGCGTCTTTTTAGCATCGCATCCGCTACGCGTGTCTATACTCCTCATTTCAAGAACCTCCACTACATACCACACTTGACACTCCAAAAAGTTAGACCAATGTCTGGCGAGCAAGGTCAATTCAAGCCTGTGCCAAAGGCTCAGGAGCAGAGCCAGCCTGGGTATGGTATTTAGGCCGTATGCTCGAGCGAATTGACTGATGGCTGATAAGAACTTTTGTAATAATAAAGGCTCGAGAAGCATCTGGCGCCATCGGGCGAGGTGACCAAGCTCGAGGGAAAGGACCAGTTCCACGAGTACCGCGCCGCGGGGAAGCTCAGCGGAAGCAAGGCGCTCATCACGGGCGGCGAGTGCGTGTTCCATCATCCCGAGCATCTCTTGCCTATGGGTGGCTAACGCAACATGGCAGCTCTGGCATTGGCCGTTCCGTGGCTGTCCTCTTCGCCAGAGAGGGCGCCGACGTCACCATTGTCTACCTACCCGAGGAGGAGGAAGATGCACAAGAAACGAAGAAGCTCGTCGAAGAAAGCGAGGGCAGGAAATGCCTTCTCATCCCCGGCAATCTCATGGACAACGAGACGTGCCGTCAGGCAGTGAAGCAGCATGTCGATACTCACGGCGGCCTCCACGTGCTGGTCAACAATGCCTCCAAGCAGATCATGTGCCAGGACTTTGCCGAGATTGACCTGGACAACGTGGAGAGCACGTTCCGCAGCAACGTCCTGCAGATGTTTGCGCTGACCAAGTATGCCCTGCCGTACATGGAAAAGGGCGGATCGTACGTGTTCTTCAACTCCCAATCTCTTACCTGAGAGAATGTGTTAACACGGCTCCTTCAGCATCATCAATACCACGTCCACTGTCGCCTTTAGGGGCTCCAGTGGCATGGTGGATTACTGTGCGACCAAGGGCGCCATCGTCTCCTTCACCAGGGGCCTGGCGAAGCAGCTCGTGAAAAAGGGCATCCGCGTCAATGCCGTTGCTCCTGGTCCGGTGCACACGCCTATCCAGCCAGCGTCTAGACCGGCAGAGCAGATGGAAGGCTTTGGCGAGGGAACGATGCTCGGCCGTCCGGGCCAGCCGAGCGAGGTGGCGCCCAGTTTTGTCTTCCTGGCCAGCAAGGACGCTGAGTTGTTCTACGGCCAAGTCTTGCATGCGTACCCTCTAGGCGACTAGGCACGAGACGGCCTCTGGACCAAACGGATTCTATAGTAGTAACGCGAATGAAACAATCTTGCAAAGTTTTCGATGGCCACTTTGGTTAATTAGCTCGAGCATGCCCCGGGCAGACAGTGATGTGTTCATTAACGTCTGGTGGTCTAGTAAACTATATACACAAACTAAAGCCCAAATGCGATCAAGATTGAAGCCACGATTGACGAAGCCCAGACCCCGATCTCAGCCCGCATCATCGTCCTCTTGCCAAACCCTTTCCCAGCGTCGTAGAAGAGCTGCTTTATTCCATTAAAGAAGTGGAAGGTAAATGGAAACGCCAGACTAAGCTTGATAGCACCTTGAGCAGCGGGTGAAAGGAGAGCGAAAGCAGCCACCAGCGCACTGCTGTTGAAACCCACACCGAAGACGGGTGCGACAAGGTAAGAGGCGAAGAAGACGTAGATGGCGCCCGTCAAAGTGCATCCGGTGATGCGCATCCACGCTGACGAGCCGAGAAAGGTCTGCTCGATCTTGTAGGCACCGAGGTGTGGCGCGATGGGCCGGTTCAGGCGCTGCTTGGAGAGTATATCATGCTGCGTGGCTGGAGTGACTTGAGTGTACCTGGTGGACTCGCCGCGCTCAGCACTGGCTGCGGGCGACTTGGAGCTGCTTCGCAGCCATGCCGTCTGCTGGGTTGTACTGCGTAGGAGATGGCAACATCGAGGGACGGTGCGGTAGGAGGATGGAGATGGAGGCAGTGAACGCAGGCCCAACAAGGGCCTTCTGATGGTGCTTGTAGGGAGCATCTTACCAGTGACTAACCGCAGTACAACTGGAAACTGCTAGGTAAACACGAAAACATGGAGAATTGAAGAAGGAAAGAGGACAAAAAGAAGAATAACAGCATCAACAAGAGTATGCTTCCTTCGATACCTACCCACCTACCTACCTACATACCTACATACCTACCTACATACTACCTACCTACTGCCTACATACCCTAACAGTGGACAAGGGAACGGAGAGGAAGAGTAATCACATCAAGGCAAGGCGCTGGCTTGATGCTGATCCTACCCCACGCCAACATAGTCAACTGGTCATTCTCACGTCACAACTACGAGCCCTTTCTTCTCTTTTCCTCATCACGCATCACTTCCTCGTCGTCGGCGCATCACCCCATCGCCCTTGTCGCATCCGTCGAGCGTTGCCTCAGCCGTCGCTGTATCAGTAATGTTTGCTCACTTGTGAATCCAATCCACTAGCGTGTCGTATTGACATCAAAAACTTCGATTCAACTCGTCATACAACTAATCTACGCACTAATAGCGCGCCTAGGAACGGCACCTTGGCTATCTTCCTCCATCAATTGGTATCCTGGGGAAACTTCCTAAATATATCGGCAACTTTGTCCATGGGAGCCGTCAGGAGCCCCATGACCGTCTCAAAAGGCGGGTGCTCGCCTGCGCTGGGGTGGCTACGGGTCGGCACGAAGGCCTTGGTCCGCTCGAAGCTTTTGGCCAGCGCCTCTGACTCCCCCTGCCCTTCATCGAGCTTGGATTCGAGCGCGGGAAGATCTCCATCCTCCTCCTCCTTGATGTGCTTTGACAGTGGCCCCCAGATGGACTTGAGCTTGTCCACGTAATTGGAGTCGGTCGCCCTCATGCCCTGGAAGACCTTGAGCATCTCCTTGACCTGGGTTTGTCCACTTTTAGCAACTGATGGGTCAGTCGATTGGGCTAGCGCCTACCTCATGATGCTCCTTGCGGTCGTGGTCCGCCATTTCTTTTCCCTTAGCCCCTAGGTGTCTCTCCATGGCTGGGTAGAGGACGAGTTCCTCCCCAACAGAATGGCGGGCCAGTTCCCACACAAACTGGTTACCGTAGCGCTGCTGGTGATCGGCGTTACCTCCATTGGAGACTACCTCATTGTAGAACTGCTCCAGTTCCCGGTGGTCCTCGATAACAGCACGCGAGATGGTACTCATAGCGGCGATGGGGTATGGCTTTGAGAGGTGCCAATGTGAGATGGTTTGGACGCTTTTGAAGATTGGTCGAAGCAGAGTATGCCGTTGAAAGACCATGATGCGTGATGATTTGGCCCAGTTCGATATTTCCTCTCCCATCCCTTCCACCAGGTTATTTATACGCCTATGGAGGGCCTAGAGGAATTGTCCAAACAAATGTTGAGGATTGCCAATATCCTCCTCTTCAGGAAGCTCTTCATGGTTGCCTGTATCTTCGTGGCGTGCGCAATGGATTGATCGTCATAATTACCCTTCGACCCGGTACAGTTGCTCCGGCAGTAGGCGACCTTGCAAAGTCTATGTGGTCATTGCCTTGGCTTTTCACGTCTATGGTGCCCTTCATACGCACTCCAAATCACCTATGTCATGGGCTCCGTTAGCAAACATTGCCCTTGTAGAAGTACTTGCACGCGGATGGTGGTAAAGTCTTACGTTTAGATTGGCATTAGGTCGAGTCCATCCACCGGCAGTTTCGATACACCAAGCTTAGGGTTAATATCGGCGATCTTTTGGCGCCGATCGGAGGACGAGATTCGGGAATAATGTATAGCTTCAGAGCCTACGCTGACAACCAGACTGGACTTCGGTACATTGCTCAGGTCGTCGTCCACCAGTGGCATAGGGACGTGTCATGATAGCAACGATGACACCAACGACTTGAAGCGGTAGGGCATATCAGTATTTAGAGCTACGAGTATCCCCGTCAAACTCTTGCGTATCGCCCAAGCGTACACACATTGTTTGGCAGTCTCGAGCTCTCAAACTCATCATGTTTTCACCGATCCTTATGGGGACGCTTGTTCCGCTCGGCCTAGTCGGCCAAGTGTATGCCGCGCCCTACAGTTCCCAGATACAGACTGGCACTTCCGCCGTGCAACAAACAGAGATGGCTTATGCGTACCGGTTACAAACGTGACTTCACATGGACCGTACGACGGTCCGTCGCCTACTACGACTGGTGCGCTCTCCACGTCAATCGTAGCTCCTTCTGTCCCGGCTCTGCCTCCTCCCGACGATGCCTTCAACTATCCAGCAGACGGGCAGCTCCACGGCGACCAACCGGCCCCGTACACGCCGAGCGGCGGCCTCGGGACCAATGGCTCCGCACCCGTCTACCGCGTGCAGAGCGACTTTGACTACCAATCACTCGCGTTGGCTCTGTACCAGGAATGGATCGAGTTAGACCTCTTCCACTGGGGTCTAGCCACCTTCAGCGAGGCCGACTTCGAAGCCGCAGGAATCAACGCAGAGGACCGCTTCCTCATCCAGCACATGGCGGACCAGGAGATTGGCCACGCCACTGTCATCACCAACATGCTGGGCCCGCAGGCGCCAAAGCAGTGCACCTACAACTATCCGGTCACAAACGTGCGCGAGTTCATAGACTTCAACCAGAAGCTCACCCGCTGGGGCGAGTCGGGTGTGTACGGATTCCTACCGCACCTCAACTCCGGCCCAGCGGCACAGCTCCTCCTGCAGAGCATCACTGTCGAGGCCCGTCAGCAGCTCATTTTCCGTCAATTTGGTGGACAGTTCCCCATGCCCGAGTGGCATATAGCTGGTATCCCCCAGAGCTGGGCCTGGACCTTCCTGGCACCGTACATCTCGAGTTGCCCGGCTGACCAGACGAGGCTGGTGTGGCAGAACTTTCCTGCGCTGCACGTCCTCAACCAGCCAAACCCGGCTCGAGTCAATGGCTCAGACTCGTTCAACGAGACGATCGGGGGCTCGAGCAACACGCTCTCTACTGCCGACATCGCTGACGACCAGCTGTGCCTTAACGCTACCGAGCAAGGTTCTGACTGCGGCCCTGCCATCAGTCAGAATCGCAGCATTCCGCTCTCGTACCCGGGACGAAAGGTATTCCTGCAATGGGACGAGCCTGGCCAAGTTGTTGGGCCCAACAACAGCTACGTGACCTCTACCAACGTTCAGGTGCCCCAATTCGCCGCCTGGGTGTCGCAGCTAAATGTCACATACTCGCCCCTCGAGAACGTGAACGCTACGGATCGCACGGCGTACACATTTCAGCCTGATGTGTCGACGTGGGCTGGCGATCCGGCTATCAACGGAACCATGTTTCTCGCCCTGACGGATGTGGATATGTATGTTACGCCGTACAACCTGACTCAGATCAATCCACACGTGAGGGCGCTTGCTATATACCAGGCTGGTTGATGAGGTGGGAACAAGGGTGAAATATTTACTGAGCTTGGTTGTCATTCGAATGAGCGACTCAATCATAATTCTTTTGGTTAGCGGGGGGGGGAGAGTTATTGTAGATAGAAGGTCATAGCGTACATATTGTATCGACGTCACCTGAAATTCACAATTCTCCCGAGCTGTTACACACGAGCCGTCTCCTAATTGAACATATAAGATATAGCCTTGTTGTCAAAAATTAAGTTATAACTTTATAAGAAGAGATTATAGAAAATATAATAATATCTTATAAGAGATTCGCATATTCAGCCGCCCTAGGAGTGCAAAAAAAACAGCAAACTATCAACCGCGCGGAATTTATTTAGTTGAATAAGACAAGAGCAATCAGATTCAATAGTGCTAAGCCACACGCTCTACCTATATCTGTGCTAAGGTAACTGGATCCATTCACTTGTTTGTCCTATTTGACGGAATGCTATCTCCAAGGTTAGATCTGGGGATTTTGACGGAGGAACTCTTCCATTGACGTAGTTCTAACATTCAGCTTATGGTTGTCAAGGTTCTTAAGAGAATAAGTTCCATCCAACTGGAAGAGCTGGTAGAACAGGCCAATGTAACTATAGTAGTCGTTGTACGGCTTCTGATTCCTTAGAGTGTCGGCAAGTTTCCTCAGATCGTCGAGGGAACCCCGGTGCTTGAAGCCAATCTCAATGCCTCTGACTTCTTTATAAATCTTTGCGAGCTCCCGAGGTGAGTAGGCACCGGAGTTTAATTCCCAAACGCCTCCCTCTGGGGCGTCATCACGCTGGATAACTTCGACGGAAAACTCGGCCGCGTCTTTCTCGGTGGTCAGGTCCCACTTTTCGTGACCGGTTCCCCAAATGTCAACAGTCTTGTTTTCGGGGTCCCATGGCCCGTTGTAAGCGGGGGAGAAGTTACCGTGGCCGGGGAGAGAGAAATAGACCTCTGTCAGGCCACCGGTCAGAATCCAGATCGGCTTAATTGTGGACGTCAGCTTAGCCTGCTGATAGAAGGCGATGCAAGCATCGTAGCTCTGATGCATTCCAAGTTGTAGCTGTCTCCAGTCGCAATTCCAGCTCGCGGCGAGGAAACGCGTAATGCCGGCTCGCTCGGCGGCACGTAGGAGAAGCAGCTGGGCATCGAGGTGCATTAAAGGAGTTCCGGCATAAGCACAGATGACGGCATCGACGCCGCTGCAAGCTTGTTCCAAAGCTTCGATGTCATAGTAGTTTCTAATCTGGACGAATCTCTCGAGGTTCGAGCGCTGCTCGTCAGTGAGCTTGTCTGGAGAACGACCAAGGCCTCTGACCTGATGTCCACGAGAAACGAGACTGTCAATAAGATGCAAGCCAAGGTTGCCAGTGATTCCAGGAACGAGCACCAGCATAATGAAACGTTGATATAAGTAACCGGGCAGAGGGTGGATATTGAGATAGACACTGATACAAGAGCCGCTGTGGGAAGATCAATGCAATAAGAGGGATAAAACACTATAGCATACACGGCATCAAACTTGTTTTATAATCCTTAGATAAACATGGGTTGGCTGCTTGCTCCATCTCGTCTACCTTGGATTAGTGTCTTTGTCTGACCATGAATTAATAATGATTCGGCAAATTCAATGAGAAGACCGAGGTACATGCTTAACTCAACCATCCTTGGAGGTGACACTTAGACCAGTCCAAACAGGGCTAGCTTTCCGTGTGGTGGAGCTGGGAATGTGAGGCTCAGAAGATCCTACGAGGTCTTTGGCTTTTACTTGAGCTACTTACTCCCTAGCTCAAATACGGCTAGCGTTCCGTGTGTGGGGGCATCCACCGTTGATGAGAACTCTCCGTGGGTGACAAAGCACCCGTGAGGCCGATATCTCCATGATTTCGCCCAGAGAAGAGGGGACTGATGACCAATACGAAAAACGTTTTGGTTCGTCTCAAGAGGAGTACAGCGTATGTCCAGGGCATTCTTTTAGGACCACCAAGCTCGGATACTCAGGCAAGGTGCAGTGTGATAAATGCCAGCAAGCTGCAGCTTCGAAACAAACTGAAATCTATTCCTATACATTTCACTTTGCTAACACTGGTAGTCATTATACTCATTACTTATTGTTCTTGGTAATCATGTCCTTCTTCACTCCCATTCGAGCCTCAAACAAGCTCATTGCTGAGGCCAGCGTCCCCAACACCGCCGTTTTTATGGGCGGCACTGACGGTATTGGAAAAGCTACCCTGAGGAGTCTCATCTCTCAAGGTTTTCCGATCAAAGTCTATATCGTAGGTAGAGATGAGGCAGGTCACCGGGCTATGTTGGATGATCTTAGGGCTTTGAACCCCAAAGCAAACTTGATTTATGTCGAAGGCCAAATATCCATGGTCGCAGACTCTCAGCGTATGGCCGATAGTATCTCCGTCCAAGAAGAGAAAATCAACCTCCTCTTTCTCTCAGCAGGCTATTTGCCTTTCAATGGGCGCCAAGGCGAGTACTCAGGCCACACCTGCGGTCAGCTCCGGGCCATTCGGGCTAACTACTGTCTCAGAGACTTCTGAGGGCCTAGAGGCATCTCAAGTCGTGTCCTACTACAGCCATATTGTATTCATCACGTCTCTCCTTCCTCAGCTTAGAGCCGCCGCCAAGTCTTCGGAATCTTCGCGTGTTATCAATGTCCTTGCCGCCGGGCAGGAGTCGACAAACCTCTTCCTCGACGATCTAACTCTCAAACATCCCGGCCGCTTTGGTATTCCTACTTACGCGTCTCACGCCGCTACTTCAATAACACTGACTCTGAAGCGTATCTCCGAGGTACCAGAGAACAAAGACATAGTCTTCATCCACTCTCATCCTGGCAAGGTTAGCACTAATCTATTCCTGAAGAGTTGGGCTGGCAACTTCGACCCCAGCAAGGCTACCGCCGCTCCACCTGCTGGGACGTTTGTGGAGTTGACGCCAGAGGAGTCTGGTGAGAGATGCCTCTATTTAATTACAAGCGCGGAGTTCGGGGGCAATGGTGTCCCTGTGCAGAATGGGCGACAGCCAGCCCCGACTTTGGCCCATGGATCCAGTGGGTCGCTGTTCTCTATCAACGACAAGTTTGAGGTTCTCCAACAGGATGGGTTACTTGATGATTTGGAGAAAATGGGGGCCCCCCAAAAGATCTGGGATCATACTTTTGACGCCATTGGCTCTATCGTCAGAGTGGACTAGATGGCGTCAAGTAACTGGCGTCTAGCTTCAGGCTTCATCCAGAGCCAGGAATAACCATGGATCTTAGATAAGAAGGCAAATAATATACTATCAGGTCTCCAACCTTCTGGATAATCACACGTATCAATGTTCAAATATGACGGGATTATTGCCTGCGGGGCGCCGCGTAGAAAACCCAGTTGTCCAGGTACAGGTCTGCTCATGTCCACCATCTGCGGGAAAGAGAGATATTGCCAGTACTGTTAGTCCAGAATTCGATGGGGCGGCTCAATAAAGCACTTCGGGATGGTTGAATCGACCTGCCTCTACATTGGGACCTACCTATGATTGTTGGAATACACTTAGGCTACTGATTGGTACTCATTTTCTCCTCGGTTTCTAAAGATCCGAAAATCGAGCTGTTGGTTATTATGCTCACCTAACTAAAAAGTTATACTGAACTTTACCACATTTTGTACTAGAACTTGGTGTTGTTGATTGGTAACACGAAGCTAGCAAGATATTTTCTACATCCATGTTAAACACTCCAGATGTCGAAGGAGACATCTAAACCGATAGGAACAGAAACACATTCAGTCCAACCTCCATTCGAAAGAATATAAAGTCATATCGATTGCCACTTACCAAGGGATATTCAGTACCTAACTTGCCTCGAGCCTCAGTTCATTATAGGGGATGGCACTAAACTTATAGAGGGATCAAGAATACGGGAGAGAGAGTTCGAGCATGAAGTTAAATAATAATAGAAGATGCCAGACCCGACATCTTAATACAATGAATACGAAGGATCCGCAATATCGAACCAACACAGGGACACAGATATATTCTCTTGGTAGGGCCTCTGAAGACTAACTATTAACTGACACCCAATTGCACAGCCTCTGAACACACTTCACAAGTACAGCGATCCTCAATTTCCACGTAGACCATTGGACCCGAGTTTCCTTATTCTACTTGCTTGGCGATGGCTGCGATTAAGCCAGAGAAGCGCAAGTCCAAGTCCTCAACCAAGACTCTTGAATGTTCCTGTGGGAGTGGACTTCCTCTAGCACTCCAGATAAAACGGGTTTTGTTGGGGCCGATAGGTTCCAGCGCAGTCGTCCCAAACGCGATCATGTCGGGGTAGTCGGGCCTTCTCACTTTGAACGTCATTGAGTGGTTCCCAGCGTCCACTTCAGTCAATTCTTCTGAGAATTCATAGCGCTCCCCTTTGTGTGGACCAGCAGGGTACTCATAGCTAAACGTGCGGATGCTGCCAATGCCGAATCCCTCCAGGCTGAGCTTGATACACCCTGGATACCAAGACTTCTCGGCCCCGAAGCCTCCCAAGATACCCCAAACTTCGCCGATAGGCGCGTAGATGTCGCGGATAACGGTATGATAAAGCATGAGCTCTTGAGCTTGAGACATGGTGCCAGGTTGTCGGATTGAATGCTTATGTGCAAATGACTGAGTGACTACCAAGTAATAATAGGCTTAAGACAAGTGATTATGGGACGTGTTGAGAAATGGCGTCGATGGAAGTCATGTAGGCTTGTTTATATACTTTTTTCGTTTCTCTATTTCCCTCGCTTACTCAGACGTCCACTCTTCTGGTTCCTGCTAACTTAGACATTTAGCAATGGGACCTACATGTCAAATTCCATTTTTTCTCTGGAAACTTCTATTTAGCAGAACAAGCCTCTAGTCCGATGTCCTCAATAAGGCTAGAGTTCTGTAACTTGATAACCTAAGAAGCGAAGGCGATAAGGCGCCCAACAAGGTTAGAGTTCCGCAGATTGTCCACTATATGGGGCGTTCTGCCAACCAATCGACTGTGGCAAAGGAGGGGGATGTCTGGATTTGGGTGTTGGTACGAGCGCCGTCGACTGCGGAAGCTGACAAATAGCGTCGAAGTCTGCATTGCAACTACATTGCAGCGAGTCAATCTCCTAGCATCTGATGAACCTCATCTATCAAAGCAAGCAAAATTGAACAAGTCATGGTCTATTACGGTCATCCGTCCCGGAATTGTTTGCCTTGCAGGAGAAGGAAGATCCGGGTAAGGAAACTGTTTCCTGAGTGAGCCGCCCATGGCTCTACTGTCTACATGACATGCTCATGTTACTGATCGATGCAGTGCGATCTAGATCCCCAGGGATGTAGCCAGTGCCGCAGAGCCAGATTAACTTGCTATGGGTACCGTGATATGAAAGAGTTAGCCTTCCGCGATGAGACACACCTCACAACCCAAAAGGCCTTGGCCCGCCATGCGGCCGCCCAGCGTATCGCATCTCCACAACTCTCCTGGGATGTACTGTCTCGGAACGCCTTCCTCTGCCTCTATATCGAACGATACTCCTACGGGTTTAACGCTTTAGCACCGCTCCTGGCCACATCCTCCCCTGCAGGACACCTGCAAGCCAGCGTCGGCGCTGTCGGCTTGGCTTTTATGGCCCTCCAAGCGAATCGTCCAGACCTGATGCCCCTGGCCAATCGACAATATCTGACTGCCATCCGGACAGTTAGAGAAGCGATTCATAGCTCGCTGCAATCATCTAGCAACGGGTCCTCGCATTTTGTAAGCAACGAGACCCTCCAATCCGTGCTTCTCCTCGACCTCTACGAGAAACTAGCCATTTCCCATCAATGGCTAGGGCTTCATGGATCCTGGTTGAGTCATATCCAGGGTGCTCTAGCTATGGTACATGCCAGACCGAGTACGGACTTTGTCGATCCGACCACTTGCCAACTTGCCAGTCGAACCGTATTGGCCCTAACTATCAGCTGCGGTGTAGCTGGTGTACCCATACCGGACAAACTGCACGCGATCCGCCGAAACTTGGATTCCCACATTCGACACGCCAAATGGACATTTCTCGGCCTATTGATGAACGCCATCGATTTTCGTGCCCACATGCAGAGCGGTGTGCTGAGACCAGATGACATTGTCTCGCAGGCGTGCGATCTGCAAGACCAACTCGCCTCTGCGGAGAGAAAGATACCACGCTCCTGGGGGCCATGTAGGGTAGATTCCCACGATATCCTCATCTTTGACCGTTACTACGATGTTTATCCGAGCCACTATGCAACTCAAGTCTTCAACGCCTTCCGGATCCTACGTCTGGAGATGTGTTGTATCATTCTCAGCCTCGATCCCTGCAGCATGATTAAGAAGACTATTGACAAAATAACAGAAGACATCTGTGCAGCTGTACCTCAGTTCATACTTCTGAGGGCTAGATCTGGGAATACGGTGCCGTTTTCGCCGCTGCAGATATTAGAATGCCGGGGTATATTGACTGCCCTCTACCAAGCTGCACAGATCACGCCGAATATGCTTTTGCGAGAATATATCCTGCAGTGTTTGGCGTACATGGCTGACAATGGCGTCAAATCTGCCCAGGATGTAGTCTGCTGTTTGGCTGTTACGCCTAAACTCGACTACTGGACCGTTTTTGCAATGATCGGTAGCTGTGGCATCACTGCATGAGGAATATAGAATTCATGAAAATCCTAATCAATGTGGTAATATGTAGGGCAAAACGGCTTAAAAGTCAATAATACCCTTACTATTGAATTCATTGTGGTGGTGATATGTTATCGCCACCCTCCGAATCATGCCGAGAATCGAGAAGTTTGAAAATGTGGGAGTATAGGGATGTAGCCAGGGTAGTTCTATGAGTGGGGGGTTGGAATAGTGCTTATAGTCAGAATGTAAGGTGATAGTTTTTGTATTGGGCATAGTTTTGATGGAGGGTATCTAGCAGGCTATGTAGGAAGTGATTTGGGTAGTTATATGCGATCTTGGCTAGAGACGGGAGTGTTTTGGCCATGTTAATACCCGAGGACTATGCTGTATCCTACTCGGAAGATGGTTCCCCAAATTCATCATGAATGTATCAGAACTGGGAAGGAATTGGTTCTATGTTGGGCAGGATATTGTTGATACGAGGTTCTCTAACCCGAATTGACTCCCACCAATCCAGCGTCTCCTTCTTGTCCTGATTTATCCATATCCAGAAAGCCTTCAAGCGTGAGGCTGTGGACGTGGCAGGCGGAGTCTGTGCGGAGAGCACCACAGCCAAAGCTATAGACGTTACAGGTAACTGTCTGGTGTAGCCGAGTCCACTATAATCCAACGCAGACGGGTAAGGGGTTAGTTGTGCTGGTGCCTAACAAGGAATTAGGGGAACAGTAAACTTCAACGTTGAGCAAATGAGCAGGCCCCCATCGATCCGCATCACAACGCGATATCCTGGTGTTGTTGTTTGTCTGTCATGATTCAACGAGAGCCTGACTTTCTTTCTACAACTTCAATCCTCAATTCTGCTGGTCATGGGATAATCATCGGCAATTCAGTCAGCATGTCTCGTGACTGAGGTTCCATGAGAACCCTAGCGGCCCCTTGTACCCTCTCGGTTCTACGGCTCCTCTTAGACAATTCCGACATCTCTCAAATAGTAAATCTACCGTCGTAGAGTGGGAGATAGCCGGACTTGGCTCTGAATCCTTGTATGTGCTTGTGCTAACTGCTTGGCATAGTTGGAGTTCTCGCGGCAGTGAAAGTCAATGGGCACACGATGGTCTTGGGTGTAACACTTACATGGATTAGTCAAAGGTACCGCAGCATACACAAACTACACGTGTTCAGAATGCCACCCTGGCACAAATCACGACGACGATGGTCCTTCTAAAATGATACGTTGTGAAATTTGGGATCACTTAGACTGTCAGGAACATCAGGCAAACCATGGGTTAGCGGAATCAAGAGAAGCATCAGCATTATGTTGCAGGGTCGGGGAGAATGTTCCCAGGTCTCAGGGCAAGTGGCAAGTTGAGGATATTTCCACTACATGTCGCGGAAGGCCACAAATCAAGTCCCGGAGGATTTCAGGCAACCGAATCCGCCCAAGATCATCCTGGTCCGTGCTTGCCGGGCATCTCGGGGCATAACAGTAGGATTGACGCCCTGGTCTGTCATCAACGGGACCGAAGACTGTCAAGCATGCATAGGTGGGACTTGGCAAGGGTTATTGACACTGATAACGTTACTCCACCGACTGTCGCTTTTAGTCCAATGCATTGCAAACATTACACGTGCATGGGATACATCCTCAGGATGTACAACGCCTGTCACCGGATCCTACCGGCCAGATATCCATGGCTATCGTATACCCCATCGCGTTAGAGGTTCTCCTGGGCTGCAGGCTGCCCTAGTCAGCAAGATGATAGCAAAACACATCTTGTCCCAGAACCGACGACACTTGGTGCATTGAGAAGTTTCGAAGGAATATACTCTCTTTTCAACCTCCCGGTTGTGGGTCACCGCAGCGTAGGATGGCATCCCCAAGAGAGCTCAGATAAAGCGCTATGGGGCAAAACAGGTCGATCGAAACGAACCCCGACGCTGAAAGGAGTCGTAATATTTGAGATAGAAACTTGATGTGGAAACTCGAATTGGGGAGTTGTCGGGTTGGGGAGTTGCGTACTAGAGAAGCAAGATGGCAGAGCTGTCGCGAGGGTCTGAGGATAAAAGGAGGGCCTCGCGTCGTCTTCCCGGTCTTCTGCACAGTTGAATCTCAACTCTCATTCCTCACAGATACTTCTTATTACCTTCCTAGCCTCTTCTTTCATTATTCGTTAGACAAACGAGGCTTGGTAGCCCTGGATAAACCGGAGAGCGTTGTCTTTGATTTCCCTCTACCTCTACACGATACCTAGAACGAAGATGGTTGAGCCAATAGCCGTCATTGGCCTGGATGCCAAATATCCATGTGACGGAAATACTCCTGAGAAGTTCTATGACTTTCTCGTCGCTGGAAGATCCGCCAGAGCTCCCATCCCAGCGGACAGATACAACAGAGATGCTTTCTGGCATCCTGATAACCACCGAGATGGAATTGTATGGCTGCTCGCCCTTTCCTCGTCTAGTTGTCTTCACTGACCTTGTCAATGTAGATCGGTGGTAAGGAGGGGCACTTCATACAGGAAAACGTCAGGGCCTTCGATGCCCCCTTCTTCTCCATTACCCCTGCCGAGGCAGCAAGCATGGACCCTCAACAACGCTTGCTCCTCGAGTGTGTCTACACCGCCCTGGAGAACTCTGGTCTCACCATGGATGCCGTGTCAGGCACCCAGACGGGAACCTACGTGGGAGCTTTCATCTGGGATTACCGTGATGTTTTGATCAAGGATATCGACGCCCCCATGATGTACACTGGTTCAGGTACCATTGCAAGCACCTTGGCCGGCCGTGTGAACTGGTTCTATGATCTTCAGGGCCCTGCAATGAGTCTGGACACAGCGTGCTCGAGTAGTATGGTGGCACTTCACCAGGCTGTCATTGGCTTGAAGTCTGGAGACTGTGACATGGTAAGTCCCTGCCCACGTTCTGGCATTACGGCTGCTGACAGCACTACCATGCAGGCTATCGCATGTGGAGCCAACTTGATCCTCTCTCCTGAAATGGGTCTCGAGCTCAATGCTCTTGGTGTGCTGAACCCCGACAGCTGCTCATATAGTTTCGATGACAGGGCAAGCGGATACGGACGAAGTGAGGGTATTGGAGCCGTTGTCCTGAAGCGCATGTCAGACGCCCTCAGAGACGGCGATAGTAAGTCACTCATCATCCCTCAAGAGAGAGAGGCCTAGACTAATCGTCACTCGTCAGCCATTCGTGCCGTGATCCGCAACACAGGGTGCAACCATGATGGCCACTCCCCTGGTCTCACCGCACCCGCGCAAGAGTCTCAGGCAGAACTCATGCGAAGAACCTATGCACAAGCTGGAATTGACCCATCACAGACTCGCTTCTTTGAGGCACACGGAACCGGCACACCAGTTGGTGACCCCATAGAGGCTGGCGCCATCAGCGAGATGTTCAACAAGTATCGATCTGCTGAGGAGCCTCTTATTGTTGGTGCGGTCAAAAGTAACATTGGCCACTCTGAAGGAGCTTCCGGCATTGGTTCCGTCGTCAAAAGTATCCTCACTCTCGAGAGAGGTATTATCCCTGCCAATGTCTGGTTCGAGAACAAGAACCCCAAGATTCCCGACGACTGGCACCTCTTCTTCCCAACGACTGCTTGCCACTGGCCCCAGATCGAGGGAGGCATCCGCCGCCTGTCGATCAATTCCTTTGGTGTTTCGGGTACCAACGCTCACGTTGTGATGGACGATGCCCTCAGCTTTCTCAAGGCAAACGGTTACAATGCTCCCCACAAGACCATCGAGTCTCCCCAGCTACCAGGCTCAGCGCCCCTTCCTACCATCACGAATGGAGTTGGTTCCACTAGCCCTCAACTCTACGTACTAAGCTCTCACGACCAAGATGGCATCTCCAGATTGTGCAATGTGTACAAGGAGTACCTTCCATCGTTGGACGACACTCTACACAACTTGAGCTATACCTTGGCAGCCAAGAGAAGTCATTTCAACTGGCGCACTGCTATTGTCGCCAACTCAAAGGAATCTCTCCTCGAGGCTCTTTCTGAGAAGCAGCCTGCTACGCGTGTTGCTGCTGATGCTGGTCTCGGATTCATTTTCACTGGACAAGGAGCTCAGTGGGCTCAAATGGGACTTGAGTTGATGCATTATCCGGTCTTCCGCGCTGCCGTTGAAGCATCGGATGCCTATCTCAAGACTTTGGGGTGCTCTTGGTCTGCAATCGGTATGCCGCACAACCCAGTTATAAACTAACTATGAACAGCGTTGTCACATACATCGTGAATTGTAGCTGACTTGACATGATAGACGAGCTCATGAAGGCCGCTGATTCTTCCCGCGTTAATGAAGCCGAGTTCTCACAACCTCTTTGCACAACCTTGCAGGTCGCTCTAGTAGACCTGTTGGCTTCTTGGGGGGTTTCAGCCAAAGCCGTTGCGGGTCACTCCTCTGGTGAGATTGCCGCCGCCTACTCTGTAGGGGCCATCTCCAAGGAGTCTGCGTGGAAAATTTCCTACTGGCGTGGTAAGTTCGGTCTCTCCATATGTTAATCAGCTCCCCTTTTTTTGACCGGCTCTTTTCTTCTTCACAGGAAACATGTCAGCCAAGCTGGCTCGCTCCGGAGAACAGCCAAGCACCACTATGGCTGCTGTTGGACTGGACTTCGACAACTCCACCGAGGCAATCGACAGAGTTAACAAGCTTGGCTTTGAGGGCAGCGGGAAGCTGACCGTTGCTTGCATGAACAGCAAAGAGAGCCACACCATTAGCGGAGACACGGCCCAGATCGAGGCGCTCGTCGACATGCTGCAGGCTGAGAAGGTCTTTGCTCGCAAGCTGACCGTCGAGATGGCCTACCACTCAAGGTACATGGAGCCCATGTCGGCAGAGTATACAAAGATGCTCGGCAACATTGAGAGAGGCGAATGGTCGTCAGCTGCTCCCCAGCCTCAATTCTTCTCTTCAACCTACGGAACTCTTACTGATCCTACGAAGTTGCAGGAGGCAGCCTACTGGACCACCAACTTGGTGTCTCCTGTTCGATTC